ATATTTTTAAAAAATCCACGTTTGTATATAGCCTTCCCAAAAATATTTTTAAAAAATCAACGTTTGTATATAGCCTTCCCAAAAATATTTTTAAAAAATCCACGTTTGTATATGGCCTTTCCAAAAATATTTTTAAAAAATCCACGTTTGTATATAGCCTTTCCAAAAATATTTTTAAAAAATCCACGTTTGTATATAGCCTTTCCAAAAATATTTTTAAAAAATCCACGTTTGTATATAGCCTTTCCAAAAATATTTTTAAAAAATCCACGTTTGTATATAGCATTCCCAAAAATATTTTTAAAAAATCCACGTTTGCATAAAGCCTTCCCAAAAATATTTTTAAAAAATCCACGTTTGTATATAGCCTTCCCAAAAATATTTTTAAAAAATCCACGTTTGTATATAGCCTTCCCAAAAATATTTTTAAAAAGTCCACGTTTGTATATAGCCTTCCCAAAAATATTTTTAAAAAATCCACGTTTATATAGCCTTCCTATAAATATTTACAAAAAATCCACGTTTATATATAGCCTTCCCAAATTTTTTTTTTTTTTAAAAGATCCACGTTTATATTTAACTTTCAAAAAAGATTCTCAAAAAACCACGTTTTTATATTGCCCTCCTAAAAATATATTTAAAAAATCCACGTTTATGTATATCCTTCCCTATAGCGGGAGAATATAACGGCATCTCCCAATATTCGGTATTTCGATGATTTTAGCGACATTATTTACCGGAATTTTTTCAAATTTGGTATTTGAAGTTTTTATTGGATACTGAAACCTAAGGCAGAAAATTGTCTGAGCACGTCTACGTCTTCGCGTAGCCCCCTCCTTACGATATTCGGTATTTTGATGATTTTAGCTGCATTTTTCACCGATTTTTTTCAAGTTTCACATTTGAATATTGCCTATGCAGGTCCACTTCGTTGATAGACCCTAATATAACGGCTACATGCGGTAGTTTTTAAGATGTTAACACCATTTTTAACGAATTTTATTTATTTATTTATTTTTTTTTTTTTTTGAAAATTCCCAAATTCGGTCCATTCGGCCCCACTTTTTTTACTTTTTTGTTTTTGTTTTTGTTTTTTTTTTATGGTTTAGGAAGAGTTAAAGCCTGTTTTCTTTCGGTCTAATAGTGCTGGATGGTTTCCATTTAACTATCCCATAACAAAAAGTTTAATCCATTTAATTTTTTCAAACATCCTACCCCCTCCCCCTCTTACCACCGCCAATCCTTTACATTCCACCTAGCTGCAAAGAGAGGCACACAGCACAAAAAAAAAACTCCAGCGATTTATTCAAATGGCCATAATTTACGGACAAAAGGTAGGTGATTTTAGCTCTTCAACACCCGACACCATATGGCGATGATTAATATGCAAAATGCTAACAAATTTATGCTATTTTAAAGTCATGGTATAGTGGAGCCCACGGGGCAGGGTTAAGCTAAATAAATAAGGACCACCAGGGGGGAAAGAGAGAGTAACAACCATAACAAATAATTTGCACCTTGGCGGTCGTCCATTTAAGGGCACAGTTGGCAGGCAATTGCTTTGAACTTTCTTGAAGCAAATGAAGTTGAAGCTGTTGGATATTAGATATAAAGAAAAGTTCTCATAAAGCAAACTAACACCACACAATAAATAAAAGGATAACTGGGAAAATGTGTGACCATTTAAAGGAAAGGGGGGAAATGTCCTGTAAATTGGAAGCATTTATGAAACAGGTAAAAAAGCTGTAAGTTCGGCATGGCCGAATTTTGAATATCCTCCACCATTTGATAAAAATTTGTCAATTTTCAAAAAAATAAAATCCGTTAAAAATTCTGTTATAATCTTAAAAATACCGAATGTAGCCGTATATTAGGGTCTATACGACGACGTGGACCTGCACAGGCAACTTTTAGCATAAGCCATTACAATTTTCAAATGCGAAATTTGAAAAAAAATCTGCTTATAATGTAGATAAAAATATCAAAATACCGAATATAGGGAGGTACCATAGGTGTTATAAAACGTGGACCTGCGCAGAATATTTTCTGGCATAGGCTGTAGCATCCATTACGAACTTCTAATAAAAAAAATGAAAAAATTCCGGTAAATAATGTCGATAAAATCATCAAAATACCGAATACCGTTATGTGGAGACTATATCAGGACGTTGACCTGCAGAGACAATTTTCTGTCATAGGCTGTAAGACCCATTACGAACTTCAAATACCAAATTTGCACCAATTCCGGTAAATAATGTCTCTAATATCCTAAAAATACCCAATATCGGAAGGTACCGTTATATGGGGGTTATACGAAGACGTGGACCTTCATGGCCCATTTTCTGCCTTATGGTGTAGTTTCTATTACGAACTTCAAATACCAAATTTGAAACAAATCCGATAAGTAATGTCGCTAAAATCATCAAAATATCGAATATCGGAAGGTACCGTTATATGGGGGCTATACGAAGACGCGGACCTACTTAGCTCATTTTCGGTCTTGGGCTGTAGTATCTATTGCGAACTTCAAATACCAAATTTGAAACCATTCCGGCAAATAATGTCGCTTAAATCATCAAATTACCGCATATCGGGAGGTACCGTTATATGTGGGCTATGCGAAGACGTGGACGTACATGGCACATTTTCAATACCAAAAGTCCTGCAGACATAGTACACATTTGAGTAAATTTTTAGCAACCTACTTCATTTTTATCGGAAGCTAGAGTGATTTCCACAGACGGACAGAACGACAGACGGACGGACATTGCTAAATCGACACAAAATTTTATGCTGTGGGATCTAAAATGTACATTTCGAGGTGTTACTAACAGAATGACAAACTTAATATACCCTCCATACTATGGTGGAGGGTATAAAAATGACCGTCGATGGAACTATTTCATTTTTATTAGGAAAAAATTTGATTATGGAAAATTTGGTTTTCATGAGTAATCTCGCAAAAGGATGTCCTTTGGGCCATGAAAGGACATTTTAACAAAATGGTGATTCGGTGACCTCTTTCTTCGTGGAAATGTAAAGTTTACAACGAGGACTTGAACATTCCTCCTAGAAATTCAGGGTTCATGATTATACGACTGATTTCCTTCTCTTTCTCCAGTTCTTCCTCTCTCTCTCTCTCTTTCTAATATGTCACTACTTCTCTCTCTCTCTCTCTCAATCTCTCCTTCTTTCTTTGCTCAATCTCTTCCCTTCTCATTCTAAGTCTCTCATCTGTTCTCTTCCGTTGATTCTTATCTATCTTATCTTCATTCTCTTAATTATACCCTACACCACATAGTGGTAAGGGTATTATGTCTTTGTGCATTTGTTTGTAACATGGAGAAGGAAACGAGATAGACCCATAGTTACTTTTGAGAACCTTCATAGAATCACTTTCTGAGTCGATTTATGCATGTCAGTCCGTCTGTCCGTCCGTCCGTCCGTCTGTCCGTCCGTCCGTCCGTCTGTCCATGTATTCTTGTGAACAAAATGCAGGTCGCATTTATTATCCGATTGAGATGAAATTTTCCAAACAATATTTTTTTGGTCCAAGGACGAACCCTATTGAAATTGGTGAGAATCGAATCAAATTTAGATATAGCTCCCATATATATCTTCATCCGATTTCGGGTTAAATGTGCACCAAATATCCACTATCAGTCCAAATTACCTGAATTTTGGTACACCCAACCGAGATCGGCCTAGAAGCAAGTATATCAAATTTGGAGAAAATCGGTTCAGATATAGCTATAGCTCCCATATATATCTTTCATCCGATTTGATCTTTAAGTCCCTCACATTCCTACTATGCACTCCACAACCGTGATATTTGGTACCAGGTATTAGATGGAGCACAGAAATAGCTGTTTTAAATTTTATCGAAATCGGTTCAGATTTGGATATAGCTCCCATATATATCTTCATCCGATTTCGGGTTAATTGACCACCAAATGGCCAATATCAGCCCAAATGGCCCGAATTTTGGCACATGTGACCGAGATTAGCCTTAAAGCATATACAACAAATTTGGAGAAAATCGGTTCAGAAACAGCTATAGCTCCCATATATATCTTCATCCGATTTCGGGTTAAATGTGCACCAAATGTCCACTATCAGTCCAAATTACCTGCATTTTGGCACACCCAACCGAGTTCGGCCTAGAAGCAAGTATATCAAATTTGGAGAAAATCGGTTCAGATATAGCTATAGCTCCCATATATATCTTTCATCCGATTTGGTGCCTCTCACATTCGTAATATGCACTCCACAAGAATGATATTTGGTACCAGATATAAGATACAGCCCAGAAATAGCTGCTTGTAATTTTATCGAAATCGGTTCAGATTTGGATATAGCTCCCATATATATCTTCATCCGATTTCGGGTTAATTGTGCACCAAATGGCCGATATAAGTCCAAATGGACTGAATTTTAGTACATCGGACCAAATTCAGCCTATCAGCAAGTATATCAAATTTAGTGAAAATCGGTTCAGATATAGATATAGCAACCATATATATGTTTCATCCGATTTAGAGTTTTAGTCCCATACATTCGTAATATTCACTCCACAACCGTGATATTTGGTACCAGGTATTAGATGGAGCACAGGAATAGCTGTTTTAAATTTTATCGAAATCGGTTCAGATTTGGATATAGCTCTCATATATATCTTCATCCGATTTCGGGTTATATGTGCACTAAATGGTCAATATCAGCCCAAATCAACAGTCTAGAAGCTAATACGTAAAATTTGGAGAAACCCGGTTCAGAGATAGCTATAGTTCGTAAAATGCACGATAGAATTAGATAGAATTTGATTTTGTACCAAATATCTCATAGAGCTCTGAAATGCCCTGAATAAACCTTTTTACGAGAGCTCTACTAAATATGCATAGTGGTGTAGGGTATCATATAGTCGGCCCCGCCCGACTTTTGAGCTTTCCTTACTGGTTTTCATTTAATTTTAGTTAGATCTTTTTTTCTCTTCCACTTACCGTTATTATGATTGAGAAAAGCATTTTCCGCATCTGTCAAATGATGACTATTGGAACCGCCAGCTGCCTGTTGATCCGTTGGATTTGGTGTTGAATAATCATAGCCAGCACTGCTGCCACCGGTACTACCGGCTATTGACTTGTAAACATGTTGTGACAATTGTTGATGACGCATTTGTTGATGTTGTTGTTGCTGCTGCTGCTGTTGTTGCATAGCCGACGATGTTGCCGCCGACGAGGTATAGGGATTATTGTAAATATTACGGGTATCATTCGATGATGACGATTGATTTGTAGCTCCCAGGCCATTAACCGGGAAATGACGGGATTTGGCTGCAAGGAGAAAGGAGTCATGGGGGAAATTAATAAAAAAATTGAAATTATTTATATTAAGATAAGGAATATTTTTATAGGATAACATAGCAATAATCGTGATTTTTTTTTAAAGAATATTGGTAAAAAGAAATCAAAATTTCAAAGTCTGGTATTTTTAAAATATTTTTTTCAAAATCTGTGAAAAAGTTAAAAACATTATTAGCGCAGCCTATTATCAAAAAAAAAAAAAAAAAATATTTAAAAAATCAACGGTCACAGTAAGCAGGCTAAAAAAAACTTTTTTTGAATATAATGTGAAGGGAAGGATTTTCATACCCTATAGAGGTACCTTATAGAGGGTATATTAAATTTGTTATTATATTTGCAACACCTCGATATTCGTCGGGGACACTATGATTTTTGATTTTTGTCACATTTTTCGACTTGGTATTTGTTGTTAGTAATGGATTCGAGCTAAGATGACAGGATATTGGTTATATAAGTCCAATTTTCCGTATAGCCACCATATAACGGTACCTCCCGATATTCGGTATTTTGATGACTTTCGGCATATTTTTTAACAGATTTGTCTTATAAAAAATATTTGTAGATATTTGTGTGTAATGGATTCCCGTATAGCGGTACCTTCCGATATTCGATATTTTGATGGTTTAACCCACAATTTTCCACGGATTTGTCTAAATATTGGTATTTGTAGTTGGCAGAATATTGAATATTTAGGTCAACGTTTTACTATAGTACACATATAACGGTTCCGTCGGGTATACAGTATTTTGACGATTAAAGCCGCATTTTCTAATAGATTTACTTTAATGTGGTTTTAAAAAATAAAACTCTGATTTTAAAAATATTTTATAAGAAATCTCTAAACGTAAGATTTCTTAAATAAATTTTAGGAATATTTTTACTGTTTATTGACTTTATATTTTTTTTAAATTCTTTAAGCGACGATTTATTAAATACTTAATAACATGCCTTAAAGTCGGATTGTTATAATATTTTTTTAAGTTTTTTTTTGATTTTTTTTTTAATTTTTTTTTTTCTATATAATAAATCTATAGTCGTGGAATTCTCTTGAATATTTTTTTTAAATTCTCCCAACGTGGACTTCGAATAAGATTATATTTAAAAAACAAAAAAATAATATGGATCTCTTAAAAATATTATTTTTTTAAGAATTCTCTAGAGGCGCATTTAAAAAAATGTGTTTTTGTTCTCTTATGTCCTCTAAACGTCGATTTTTTTCAAATAATTTTTGAGTATATTTCTGGAAACATGAACTTTTGCAGTATTCAAAAACGTGGATTTTTAAAAATACATTTTTTTAGAATTCTCTAAATATTGATTTCATTTTTTTTTTTTTTTTTTTTGAAAAATCAATGAACGTGGAGTTTTTTAAATATTTTTTTTTTGAATTCTCTAAACCAAGATATTTGAAAAATATAGTTTTTAAATAATTCTGTAAACGGTTTTTTTTTAATATTTTTTGTTTGAATTCCCTAAATATTTGAAAAACATTTTTTTAAATATATTTGAAAAATTTTTTAATATATATTTTAATAATTCTCTAAACCTAGATATTTGAAAAATGTTTTTTTAATAATTCTGTAAGCGTGGATTTTTTAAATATTTTTTTTTGAATTCTCTAACCCAAGGTATTTGAAAAATATATTTTTTTAAATACGTATGTAAACGTGGATTTTTTTTAAATATTTTTTTAATTCCCTAAATATTTGTAAAATATTTTTTTAACATATTTTCGTAGAATTTATTAAACCTAGATATTTGAAAAAATATTTTTTTAAAATTATTGTGTAAGCATGGATTTTTTAAACATTTTTTTTAATTCCCTAAACCTAGATATTTGAAAAATATTTTTTTTAATATTTTTTTAACATGAATTTTTTAAATATATATATTTAGAATTCTTTAAACCTAGATGTTTGAAAAATATATCTAAACCTGGATATTTTTAAAAAATAAATAATATATAAATAATTGTGAAATTTGTTTAGATATTTTTAATAGGCTACTAAATATTGATTTGGTACTGATGCTGTTAAATTAAAAAAATAAAAAATTAAATACCAGACGTGTTTTGGGTTTTAAAAAATATTTTTAAACGACCCTAGATTGGATTTTTAATTTTTTTCATGGAACTAAAAAATATGGATGTTTTCATAGAGTATTTGTTCAAAGACTACGAAATGTGGATTTTTTAAAATTATTTCTCCACGGACAAAGATATTTGGATTTGTTAAAGAAATTTGCTGTCGAAGAGCAAATGACGTGGATTTTTGAGGAATATTTCAAAGACAAATTTACGTGAATAGTTTTATAACAATTTTAAGGACCAAGAAATGTTTTTTTTAAATTTTTTTGTAAGGATTTTGTAAAGAATTTTGTTTCAAGGTAATTTCAAGTTTCAAGTTTCAAGAATATTGTTTCAAGGCCATTTGAGAATATATTTACAAGGACCCGCAGAACCTTTTTTTTAAGAATACTTCTTGGAGACAAAGAAAACTGATTTTTATTAAGGCATATTTTTGAAAAGATCGAAAAAATTGAATTTTTTAAAGAATATTTTTAAAAGACTACAAAATAGGACTTTTTATAGATATTTTTTCACGAAGCTACGATAGTTGAAATTTTCAAAAAATAGTTTTCAAGGAACAGCAAAATATAATGAATAACCATATAAGATCAGCATACCAAGATTTATGGATTTTATAAGGGATTTTATTAAGAACACTCACGTCGTTGTGACGACGTGTTTTCACTTTGAAGCTGGGGTAGGTTCAGCGGGGGCCAGAGTCGTCACAAAAATTTATTTGTTAGGACATAAAGAGAGAGAGAGAGCGAAGCAAAAATATTTTCTTAAAACGTTATAAATTTATTTCCTTAAATAACACTAAACACTACACTAAACACAATAAAATCACGTTCAGAACGTTTTACGAAGAACACTAAATCACAAAGTTCAGTCGAAATGTTAATAAACGGGTAGCAGTGGTGGCAGCTTGGCACAGCGGCGGCCCGATGAATAGGCGAGCGACGAATAGAGTGGCGGCAGCTTGGCACAGCGGCGGCCCGATGAATAGGCGAGCGACGAATAGGGTGGCGGCGGCTTTGGCACAGCGGCGGCCCGATGAATAGGCGAGCGACGAATAGTAGTGGCGGCAGCTTGGCACAGCGGCGGCCCGATGAATAGGCGAGCGACGAATAGGGTGGCGGCGGCTTTGGCACAGCGGCGGCCCGATGAACAGGCGAGCGACGAATAGGGTGGCGGCGGCTTTGGCACAGCGGCGGCCCGATGAATAGGCGAGCGGCGAATAGGGTGGCGGCGGCTTTGGCACAGCGGCGGCCCGATGAATAGGCGAGCGGCGAATAGGGTGGCGGCGGCTTTGGCACAGCGGCGGCCCGATGAATACGTCAGCGGCGAGTAGTAGTGGCGGCAGCTTGGCACAGCGGCGGCCTGATGAATACGCGCACGACGAATCGGGTGGCGGCAGCTTTGGCACAGCAGCAGCCCGATGAGTACGTCAGTCGCCGTCAACGCAGCCCGAAGAATAGGGAGTATTGCTACAGCCCTCACTCGACCCTGCGTTCAGTCGCCGTCAACGCAGCCCGAAGAATAGGGAGTATTGCTACAACCCTCACTTGACCCTGCGTTCAGTCGCCGTCAACGCAGCCCGAAGAATAGGGAGTATTGCTACAACCCTCACTTGACCCTGCGTTCAGTCGCCGTCAACGCAGCCCGAAGAATAGGGAGTATTGCTACAACCCTCACTTGACCCTGCGTTCAGTCGCCGTCAACGCAGCCCGAAGAATAGGGAGTATTGCTACAACCCTCACTTGACCCTGCGTTCAGTCGCCGTCAACGCAGCCCGAAGAATAGGGAGTATTGCTACAACCCTCACTTGACCCTGCGTTCAGTCGCCGTCAACGCAGCCCGAAGAATAGGGAGTATTGCTACAACCCTCACTTGACCCTGCGTTCAGTCCAGTCCAGTCACCACAAATAGTCAAGGCTTATTGTTTGGCTTACTAAGACTCAATTCAACCGAGGTTGCGCGCCTTTTCTTCCTCCCAATCACACTTGACTTACCAGCCATCAACAGAAGACTGATCTCGATTGTGTGAAATGCGTCTCCTTTTATACCTTTTTGGCTGGACAACGATTGTTGTTTTCTCATGACAGCAGCTGATCCCAATCTGACAGTTTTGCGTAGTTCCGCCATTTGCCACCAGGGGTTCCAATGTTGTATTTTAAGTATACTTCTTTCTACTAGGGGACGTAAAAATGGTATTTAAAATAATAATGTACCCCAAAAACGAAAGCATGACTTTTGGGCGTTACATGGCATCTCTTCCTCCCTCTGATTTTTGATTCCTTGATTTGCTTTCTCTATTGCTATTGGGTTTCAATAGCCAGGAAGCCCTAGGGTGTTATGTAACCTTTTATTTCTCCGACATGGGCACTTTGGTTCGACTATATCTCGGTCGAATAGGAAGGTATGTTAGAGACCAATTGCAGAAGTTCGGAGAGATACCTTCACTACCCCGTCTGCTGATATTATTATGCGGTACTGCTTGCCATCTTGTTTAACAATTCGCTTCAGTTTGTGTCCCTTTTTCCAATTGTTTTTAAACTTCTCGATACGGATTTGTAGGTTTTCGGGATAATTTGGCAGTTCGAGAAATGTGTTATCGTTCACGGGATTGTCTGTCGAGGACGATGGCGTTGACTCAGTTGGGATTTCAGTGACTGGCAATTTGATTGTACTTGGTGTACTATTATTCTCCTTACTGGGTATAAACACTTCATCGATGGAAGGTTGACTGCTACACAATGTTGGCTGATGAGGTGTCATCGTTTGGCTTGTGGATGATGATGAAGACGACGAGGCTGATGAGGATGAGGATGACGATAAAGACGACGAGGCTGATGAGGATGAGGATGACGATCGGGAAGATATCGATGGTCTTTGAAGTATG